GCGGCCTCAGCATGGCCGGAGAAGCAGTGCGTTGGTGCGCGCCCGGGATCCGAACCCAGGCTGCCAGCAGTGGAGCGCGTGCACTTAACCGCTAAGCCACGGGGCCGGCCCGACACTTCTGTTATAACTGATAACTATCCTCTTGTTCTCTTTCCCAGTTCTTCCATTCTCTCAGGGCAGAGTGCCAACTGCCAATTCCTCTTGATATTCCAAGTGCCCATCCTCCTCCCCATGAAGATGGACCCTTTCCTCTAAATAAACCATTAACTAAATAATATCCAAGGATGTCAGTGAGAGCTCTTGGCAATTTTTAGTGACAGCTCATTAAAGTGGATTAAGTGGTTGTAGAATAGGGACCTCTGGAGGCCACCAGTAGGAATGCCTTATTAGAAATACCATTTCTTGATAGAAGAGTTAGATTATGTTCCATCTCACGTGGAGAAGGCTCTGATGCCATTTGTACTATAGGAGGAAAAACTAGGGCTGCTAAGTCCCTGTAACTCAAACCACTGGGATGTTAACCAGGCAGCAAACAGCCTAGCTGGGGTGCTCTTTCACAGTCCAAGATCTTCAGATAGGCTCCCAGGGTGTGAATCAGAACAGTGGAGGAAACAAACAGTTAACTAGCTGGTGAGCTGTCAAGCTGGGAGCACTTGGGACAAGTGGGCTAACAGCAGATTACAAGCTAAGTGCTTGACAGCTGGTCCTGAGAGTTGGCTCATTCATATTTGCTTCCACATCTCTGAATCACAGAGTCATAATTAAATCACAGCAAGCAGAACAATTCCACCCTCCCACTTAGATCTCGACCTCCCCATGCAAACCAGTTGTTGGTACTGGAATTTGGGCCTCCCCTATTTGATGATGCTTACTGATTGATGGTTAAGATTCTAGTTTCTAATCCAAAGATGTCTACATGGAGCATAAAATCACCCTGGAGAAGGCCTGGCTTTCCAAGGCCAATTTATTCCTTTTGTACAAATCTGGTCGAGCTGACTGAACAATAGATGAAGAAGACATTGGTGATTTCTACTAGATTGGAATAGGAAAGAATTTGTATAAACAGGCTCAACTGGCACTCAAAAACGTGGTACCATCTGGCTTTTTTAAAAGTCCAAGCAGAATCTGAGTTGTGCCATGTCCCCAATTTACTTTCTGGCATGGTCTATGACTGAACAATTCAACAGGAGAAAGAAACATACTGAATTTGTTTGACTATAATGTCAGAAGCTGTATTATATAAACTTATCTTATTCACCAGAATAGTCGAACAGAAGAAAGGAGAGTTCTGGAATGATAAGAGCCCAAATATCCACTTCGAATCAGAGAATCTTAGAACTGGAAGAGACCTCACAGGAAATGTGAAATCCAGAGAAGTTAAATAACTTCCCCAGGGTCACAAAGCTAGCTGGTAGCAGAGCTGGGTCTAGAATCTAGATCTCCTGACTTCCAGCCCAATGCTTTTTTCTTTATACACACTGGGTCCACTTGATCCCTTATATGGACAATACTAGTTCCCCCATGAATCTGCCACTCTAAATAAGAGAAAGAGCTCAGATGAAAGAAAAGCCAAGTTGGGGAATACTCAGTGCTAGTGGGCAGGGATGAATACCTGAATAGCTGGGGGGTTGTGAGGAGCCAGCATTATAGCTTGACCACAGATCTGAGTGCCCTATACAGTGGAAGACATTAGTATTCTCTTGGAACTTATACTGACAATTTCAGGGACAACTTAGCAGGTTTATTAAACAGCAACCCAGTGAAAAGCATATGAAACAAAGGTGGCCCTGGGAGCTTTTCCTCACAGCTGCCTCTGATGCATAGATACAGCTATGGACAGCATGACCCAGTTAGGAGCTGCCTGTCTCTTCCTAACGCAGAGGTGTTTCGGAAGGTGACATACCAAGTTTGGGCTGACAGTCTCTAGCTGTGTGGCCATGTGATTATTCCTGTGTTCCTGAACCGCAGTGGAGAAAATCAAAAGCTGGCTTGTGAGCCAAGATTAAGTGAGGGGAGACATTTCTGCTTCAGCCTTGGAAAGGCTTATGATGCAGATGTCTTAGTTTCTTAAGCCCATCTCTAGATGGCTTTGGGTGGGGTAGGGGACAGGGAGAAGGATTTTCCCTTAAAGAGTACTTGTTCCTTCTTTTATATCTTCTTCCAAGATACTTTGGCTAATACAACACACACATTTCAACCTGATTTGGGGGTCAGGGGAAAGGAAAGCATTTAGGAGAACTACCAATTTAAGAAGCCAAAAGCAATGCAGTATACTAATAAGGAAAATTATCACGATTCCTTGTTCTGCAGATTGCTTCTGAGCCACAGGCAGGTTGACCCCTGCTGTGAGCTCAGGCTCCTGCCTGTCAGAAGTGATGCTGGTGGTCCTGGCTCATAAA